TTGAGAGTCTTCACGCGTCCCGTGTGGCCGTAGTCAGTCCTTGGTGTAGTTGGACCTTGAGTCCTTGACCGCTTAGGTAATCTCCCACAGGTCTTCTCCGACGAGGTGCCCCTAGTAAGACAGTTTCTGCGAACCACTTGCGCACTAGATGGCAAAACAAACTCTCATTAAACTTTTAACTATCAGTCATCTTCATCTTGGCATATTCTTCATGTTCTTCAGATTCTTGCAGTATCTGCTCTTTGTGGGTTCGAATTCTTCGGTCTCCGTTACCTCGTGACTGTACACCGCCTGGATGACTTGGCCTTTGTATGCTTGGGTTGTCACATCATCGACCAGCTTGGGCTCACACATCACATGTTGACATAGCCCACCTTGAATTGGCAGCATCCGCTTCGGCACCTGGTCAAGTACCTCCCGTTCAAATCACATCGTCTCTAAGCTACTCGCCTTGCTCCTCCACGCATTCGTCGGTGTGCCTGCCTTCGACGTCGATCATCTGGGTGCGGTGCTCCTACGGGCAGGTTATGGCGGTCTCGACAATCTCGTCGAGATCGAACGGTCCGACCTGTCGAAATTGCTTAGCGAGGACCAATACATTCAACGGGAGTTGTTAATGCCTCGGGATGCGTCGGTAGAGCTGAGCCCGAGTGACTTCCGCGATCTGATCACTGGCATTCCGGCACAACGCAAGTTGCGGGTGTACGAGCCTTAGGGTCTGGCTCGCAAAGTATTCGGGATATCCACACTCATGAAGCGCATGTTGGACAGACATCGTGTCTCTCTGGTATGCTGCACGCTGGGCACCTCCAAGACCATGCTCGAGTTGGGTAATTATTCGGACGAGGCTCGCGGCGCACGTCGAGACTTCGCACTTCTCAAACAAGCTTTTAACAAGCAAGTTGAGATTTTGGAGCAGGCTCAGAGTCGGCTCTCTGAACGTGATCGCGATTTTCAGCGTGCAGCGGAAGAGCACAACCGCCAAGAACAAGTTCTTCGAAATGAGAGCGCCAAGTTAGAGCGCCAGATTGATGACTATCGTTTGGTCAACCGGCAACTCGATGATCAACTCCACGGTGGGACATTCAAGGTTGGACGTGTGATGAACTTCCTGAATTGTCATAACGCTCGGGTCAGCGGCAACCGACCGCGCCTGAAAGCTTTACTGGAAAAATTCAATGATGGGTCACTTCCACCTGACGCCTGGAAGACGCAGATCCAGATCAACGCGGCTGACGAATTCGACGCCGACCCGGGTGTTTTCAAATACGAAGTGGAGAGTAACGATGAGGAGGTCAAGGTTCCTGAGGTACCCAATCCTCAGATCACCCTGTAGGTTCCACGGTGGACCTCACGAAACTATCCTCTACTGAGTGTACCCCAGCCAAGATTCAACGCTAACTGTTCGGCGGGTCTAAACACAAGGCTCTCACTGATTTCCAGCTTCGGCCTAGCACCTATCCTCCGAGCACGGCCGACACCCTGAGCCCTACGACAGGCAAACAGCTTTCCGTCACTAAGGCACGCGAAAGTTTGACCCAACCTGTAATTTGGGATAAGCTCCGTGCAGACATCCAAGAGCTCATGCGGTCGCACATGGCGTACGACGAGAGGCTTGCTGCTGCTCGGGCAAATGCTGAGCTTCACTCTCTCCTGGATGCTTGACATCTCTTCTCCATGTTGGTACGCATCATCTACTGGAAAACTCTGGATAAGACTCCTTGGGTCAAGTACGTTCCATGTTGGTGTTACAAAGAGGCTGAGTCCAAGCTTACCAAGACTCTCACTTCAGGTGAAATTCCAATTCGCTGGTCTGACTTGTGTAAGGACATCCAGGATGACGCTGTGGAAATCATGGCCACGGTTTACGATAGCGTTACAGAGGAGGAGGATGACGAAGCGCGCGATGCAACCTTCTCTCTAGGAGAAGACGACCCGAACAAACCCCAGCGTCGCACTACTCCTCCTCGGCAAGCGACACGTAGTCGTGATGCAACTTCAGACTCGTCCTCCAAGAGCAAACATAAGCGTGCGTCGTCCCCACCCAAGAAACGTGCCAAGTCAGGCAACGGCAAGAACTCAGGAGCGCAAACAGACGGCTCTGGCGCGCAAGAGTTACAACACCCTGTATGATTCGGAGAAATTGATCGTCGAAGTACCGGGTCAAGGTATCTTTTCATGGCGTTACCATGGAGTCTTGATGAAGTTTCCTCCTGGCACGGCCAACGCTATAACGCGGTCATTCGGGTTCCCAGATTATGCTCCGAATTTGGCCAAGGACGAGGACGTTCAAGCGCTACGAGAGCGTTGGGATCCAATCGCGTTCAAGGTAATTATGGACACAAGACCCTGGGACGTCATGTTCGAGGATCGTTCCAAATTTCTGATTCTTCACGTGCTTGAGAAGCTGGGTGACGTTTCTCGTGAGGCTCTGGATGCCATAGTGGCATTCATATCCGTGCATCGTCGTGCGATTTGGTGGTTCGGGCACTGGGTATTCATCTACTTGGAGCCGGATGATCCTTACTCTGTGGAACTTCATCGCGAACGCAACGCCGAGTGTGACAAAGCCAAGAAAGAGTACAAGAAACTCCTGGATGATCGTGTCGACGCCGGTCTCGAAGAAACAATTCTGGATGATCTTGGTTCTTGGACCATCCCTGTCAAAACCTGTCACTGGATACTAATGCATGCGTCGCACGTCAAGGACGATGACACTCGCTACACCCTGAATGAGCAGATGGAGCTCCTGGATGTCCAAGAGCCGGCACGTGTCCAGTGGAACACTTGCGCATCGGATGAAGACAGAATCAAGCATCTCCCGGAGGACTATCCATTGAAGCTCCTGAAAGGTTCACAGCGTCAGTCGCAGAAGACCACATCACCCTTGACTTCGACTAATGGACTCTTCCAGAACAATTTTGCATGTTGTATGTCATAGCATTAGCGTTATCATCCAGAATACAATTGACCTTCACGCCTTCAATGTTCACTGTTTCTCCTGTCCATTGCACCACAGCTTATGCTTTTCACACCATCCTCATATCCATCATCTTGAATTCACACCTCATCATCTCGCACTCGCCAATTTTAATCGTCATGTAAATTCCACATTCAGCGTCCTGAATATTTCCACAATGTTTCTCATGAATCAAACAAAATCAAAATCAAAATCAGTGCACATAATTCCACGGTCTAGCGTCGTTCAGGTAATTGCATTCGGGCTGACTACATTCTCGGGTGGTCATCACCAGCCTGCATCGCCTGAAAACGAGCTCGTGCTCGCGTTCCTTTGTTGAATTCATACAATCGTGATCCACAATTTGAGCTGCGCCACCGGAATCCACTCTGGGTTGTCATACCCCTTCCATTTAACGAGATATTCTCGAGATCGCCTCGCAGTCCAGGTGCGTTTCACCCATCATACCTGAATTGATTCCACTTCAAACACATCATTTGAGTTATCCGGCTCCCAACTGTCTTCATGCAACAGGGCCGCATCGAAATCGTCATCATCTGTGACATCGACCTCGACCGTCGGTCTCTTTTGGAAAACCCTCTCGGCTTGAGCCGGCTAATGTGTATCCAAGGGTTAACACGAGAACCGGCGTCTTTCACCTTCCGTCGCACGCGAAAATCATCCCGAATTTCATCGATCCTGAATGGCCCATGCCACATGCGCGCTAGCTTCCGGCTCAATCCAGTCTGAACTCTTGGGATGTACAACCAAACCGAGTCGCCCTTCTCAAAACCGGCTTTGACCCACTCTGGGAGTTCTAACCACTTTCGTGTTTGTTCGTCTGAGCGCATCTTCTTAGCCTTCTTCTGGAGATCCTCATTGCAAGCAAGTGCGTAGCTGTATTCACGCTGCAGTTTCCGTCGCCACTCATAGGCGCTGCGTTCAGGAACGCTCGAAGGTTTTGGTCCCAACATTGCTGAAATCGTACTTCGGGCGTCCCAACCGTGGACCAAATAGAAGGGAGTGTCCAATCTAGTCGCGTCGAACGAGACATCAGTCGCTCAGCGTGATCATCCCAGTCGGACAGATCCATCTCGGCGACGTATGCTCGAACACTCCGAATGACGGTTTGTACAGATCTCCCCTGCTGTCCATTCGCTTGCGGGCGGTATCTGGGTGTAGCACGTTGTCGGCTACCTAAACGTTTGGAACCTTGTCAACACTTTGGTCATGAACCGCGGATCTTGATCGTCCCGTATCATGGAAGACGCCCCGAATCCCTGGAACATTTGCTCCTCATAAGCCTCAGAGACATCTTGAGCAGTTGTAGACGACATGGGTTTGCACCTCACGTAACCTGAAAACCTGCCCTGAAGCAGCAAGAGGGAAGTGTTTCCTCTGGCGGACTCTGGCAGGTGAGTCACGAATTCCATAGAAACCGCCTCAAATGGGCACCGTGGTTCAATATTCCCCGGAGAAGGCCCTGCATTCGGGGGACCGCTGGCACAGTCTACACATTCTTTCACGAAGTGTTGGACGTCCGCGTTCATTCCGGTCCAATAGAATTCGGCACGTAGCTTCTCGTGAGTACGGGTGATCCCTTGATGTTCACCTTGAAAGTCTTCGTGCGCATGGTGCAACATGTCTTCTCGAAGCGAGTTCGGGACTACCAGTCTCAGATTATCCACAGCATCCCGTGGCCTTCCGCGGACAGAGTGCAGGAGTCTATACAATATTCCTCGATCATCCAGCACAAACAGATCTGCGACCTTACTGATCTTCTGCAGGCGTGTGGGTGAGAATCTATCTAGGTCACCATTCAGGAATGCTCTGAGTTCTGCTAAATACTCATCACCCTCTCGATGAACCTTGATCCTTCTCCAGCGCTCAGCCTGGAATTCTAGTGGTCCCACGAGCGGAACTTCGCCACCATCGCGTGAGTACCGCCATGACTCGGGCGGCAGAAGATAGAGGTGCACACTCAGGGCCAGGACCATGTCTTGTTCCTGAATTGCCTTCTTCTTCACTAGTGTCTCGCATGGGGTCTCCACTGTGAACTCTAGCGCCACTGCCTTCCGACTGCTTCACCAACTGCTCGCGGATCTTGGACACTACTTCCAGATGTCGTCTCTCGAGGTCATCCTGAACAGTCCAGGATTCACCTTGGACAAGACTCTTCGAGGTCAGATAGTCAGCAGCGTGGTTGAACTCGCGCTTCATGTGTACCAATCGGATCGTCTGGAAACGCTTCTTCAGAGTTTCACATTCAGCTAGCCTCCTTTGGAGGTTAGGCTAGTTACTATTAATCAAGCCTTGGACTTGCTGAATCACAATTCTTGAGTCACCCACCACGATTATGTCCTGAATTCCTCTTTCAAAGCCATTGCAAGCCCCTTAAGCCACCCAAAGTATTCCGCGTCGTTGACGGTGACTCCGTCCACGATATATCCTCGAGCATCCAAAACCTTCCATTCAGTTAACTGCCACAGAATGCATCCACAGCTGACTTTTCTCGTGGAGGTTTTGGCCGTACCATCGAAACTCAAGACTACACCGGAGAACTCTTCTGAGAGCATTTCGACACTCACGACTGGAGGCGGTTTGAGGCGCCCCTTGGCTGGAATGAGTGTTTTGGCAACTTCATCCAAGTGCTCCCTGGGAGTAATGCCTGCACCCATAATGGCGGCTAAACCATCATCATCTCGACAAATCTTCCGAATTTCCAAGTTATACTGTGAGAGTGCAACGCCCCACGGCACAAGACGGCCTTCGGCGGTCTTGGAATTGATGACCCACTTCAACACTGAATGTCGGGTGTAGATTATCAAAGGACATCCTTCGATCAGGTTCTTGAGCACATGGAGAACTCGCATCACAGCCAGGACATCCTTCTCAGCAATATGATACTTGAGCTCGGCGTCATTCAGGTCGCGCCCGGTAAATCGAACAGGCTGAACAAGTCCGTCATACATCTGTCCCAGAACTGCGCAAGCAGCCCACTGCTTCGCATGAGAGATGATCACGAAAGGTTTCGTTCGATCCCGGTGTCTGAGCAGGGGGTAGATACGATATTCCTCTTCAAGATCTCAGAGGATTCTTTCGCTCGAGACAAGTCTCGTCCTGCGCGCATTTGATCGTCTGTCAACTCATAGAGTGATGCAGCTACCACGGCATAATCCTCAATGAATTTATGGAAGTAATTCAGACTGCCTAGAAGTGACTGGACTCTTTTTAGGGTAGAAGGAAATGGTAGCTCCTGGATGCCTTTTACTATTTTCAGCACCAATCTCATGGGTGAGGTATGGTATCACACGCTTCCCGAATTCGCTCTTGGGCAAACTAACTGAGATACTCCAATATCGTAACCGATAAAGCAACGCATCTAGATCACCGCATAGTAGATCCCACGTGGCCGCCCCATGCGCGATGTCATCAATATACGAACTGCGCCCCAAGACTGGCCCCATTTGGGATGGTGCGGGAATATTACGCCTGAAAACCGTCATTTGCTCCACGAGTGGTGTCATACTGCGTCCTGCATCCACTTCATCACTCGGCGACTGAGGATTCAACTTCAAGTTGTCCAACACATCCTGACCCACGAGTGCTTCTTCCTCGGGTGATAACCGCACAAAACCCCACAGGCAATTTTGGATCATCTGTTGGTAAAATAGTGGGGCATTTTTCAACTCGAATGGCATACGTACCCATTGGAAATATCCAAATGGGCAGGTGAATGCTGAGATCAGTTTAGCCCTCTTGGTCATTCGGACTGCCCAGAAGACACTCGCCATATCAAGACTCAAGAACGACATCATACCTTCAAAACCAGTGATGAGATCATCGATCAGTGGTAGCGGGTCATTCGGTAACTGAATGAAGCTGTTCACGACCCGATAGTCGATACACATTCGAATACCCACTCCGTCTTTCTTGAGTACGATCACAATTGGGGATGCCCATGGCGATTCAAAGTGTTCAATCAGTGTAGCTTCCAGAAGCTTCTTCAATAACTTGTACACCTTGATTGCCAAGTGCGGACCGACCGATTGGGGTCACTGTGCCACTGGCTTGGCGTCGCCTATATCTAGATCACAGATAACACCTCTCGCCGGCGGCGGGGCATTATTCCCATCACCTAAGAAGATCTTCCTATGTCTTTTTAGGATGGTTTCAGCTGCTTCTCCTGAGCTTCCGTGCTTTCACCAGGTTCTCAAACGTCAGCAGCTTCGAGGTCACATTTGAGAGAAAGAGCATCCAAGACCGGTAACATAACCAACTGATCTTTCAACTGAGACATAAGCTCACTCCCTTCGCGAATATAAACTGCTGGTTCCAAATCGAGTTCTTCTGCACTCACTCGCGTGCATCTGGCATACGCTGCGTCAAGTCGTGCGAGTGGTGTTCCATGCATGGCAGAAGAAGGTAACTCGAAATCCTTGTCTTCCACGCTTGGGTCATCTTGGAATGCATTGCATTCGGGTTCCTGAACCATCTTATCTAGGGCTTCACCACGGGATCCCAAATTGGCAACCTCTCCGCTATCCTGGGCATTGACATCCAGGGTGACAACTTCAGGTGAAACTTCAACGGCCATGAGCGAACCAATCACACTCGGGGAGTATTCCCCAAGTGTAGCATCCGCGGCTGATTCCACAACGTCGATGCTTCTTTGCGGTGGTAATTCTTCCACAATCTTCGTGACCTGTGTGGCATAGTGCCCCGGGGATTTTCCCCGGAACCAACTTTAGTTCCTCGATCGCCGGTTCCCAAGAACTCCCGAGTCCCCGAGCCGAGAAGAGTTTGGACCCCGGCTCCCGGGTCCGGAACCGCGATGTTGACGAAGATACGAGCCCAGAAGGTCCGACCTATAGTGTCCCCAAGTCGGACCATAGTGAAACCTAGTAGTTTAGCAGAT